AAAAAAAAAAAAAAAAGAAAAGAAAAGAAAACAGATCAAAAGACAAAGAGAGGAAAAGTGGGAGAGATCAGAAAAGACGAAAAGAAGGTCTGAGCAGGAGACCCAGTAGCCAAATGATTGAGTTCCAGAAGGAGACTCCTGTGAAATCAGAGGAAATGAAAACAACGTAAGCAAAGAAAAAGTTCAGAGCTAAAGGACACGAATTTCCAGGTGGCCACTGAGTGCCCAGTGCAACAAAAAAAGTACACCCACAACAAGGCATAACTTCATGAGGTTTTAGAACATCTCAAGTTTCCAGACAGGACAAGCATCCACTGAGAATCGTGTCTTATGAAAGAACAAGGGTCAGGGTGACTTTGGCCTTTCCAGCAGACAAGGGGACACGGCCTTGGTAATGCAGGAGGAGCGTGTTGTCCAAACTGGGATGTGAAATCCAGCCAAGGTGTTATAAATGTATAATTAGTACATCTGCCCCCAAATTTTACCCCCCATCCATTCTTTCTAAAAAGGCTACTGGAGGTTGGGCGGTGCCTGTGGCTCAGTGGGTAGGGCGCCAGCCCCATATACCCAAGGTGGCTGGTTCGAACCCGGCCCCAGCCAAACTGCAACAAAAAAATAGTTGGGTGTTGTGGCAAGTGCCTGTGGTCCCAGCTACTCGGGAGGCTGAGGCAAGAGAATCGCCTAAGCCCAGGAGTTGGAGGTTGCTGTGAGCTGTGATGCAACAGCACTCAACCAAGGGCGATAAAGTGAGACTCTGTCTCTAAAGAAAAAAAAAGGCTATTGGAGGATGTGTTCCACCAAAAATAAGGGAAGAAGAGAAAGATGTGAGATGAGCTTTTTTGTCGCCCTCGGTAGTGCCATAGCATCACAGCTCATAGCAACCTCCAACTCTTGGGCTTAAGCAATTCTCTTGCCTCAGCCTCCCAAGTAGCTGGGACTATAGGTGCCCACCACAACGCCTGGCTATTTTTTGGTTGTAGTTGTCATTGCTTTAGCTGGCCCAGGCCACTCTCCATGTATGTGGCTGGAGTCCTAACCACTCAGCTACAGGCACCAACCCGGGATGAGCCGTTTTTAAGCGTTGGTTTATGAATCTCAATATTGTTTCACAAAACTTTGGCTTCATTCATGCATGTGTGTTACAAATAGCTGCCTTGACAATGCCACTGCAGCGTACGCCTTACTGACGCGTGACAGAATGATGCTGAGAGGAGGGTGGACAGAAGGGTGCCCCTGGGAGTATTAGATGGTGTGAAGACAGAGAAAAATCTAAGATGGACATCGAGAGCCTGCAATTTAGCAACGTGGACAGTGCTTCCTAAACAATCTGCTGGGAGAGTTTGCTTTAGGGGAGGGGCAGATGAGAGGGAGGCTGGTCAGGCTTCTATTTTTCTTTTCTTTCTTTTTTTTTTTTTTACAGACAGTCTCACTTTATCGCCCTCTGTAGAGTGCTGTGGCATCACAGCTTACAGCAACCTCCAACTCCTGGGCTTAGGCGATGCTCTTGCCTCAGCCTCCCAAGTAGCTGGGACTACAGGCGCCTGCCACAACGCTCGGCTATTTTTTGTTGCAGTTTGGCTGGGGCTGGGTTTGAACCCGCCACCCTCAGTATATGGGGCTGGCGCCCTACCCACTGAGCCACAGGCGCCACCCTGGCTTCTGTTTTACATAACAAGCCTGGTGCAACTATGCAATTCGTTAAGGGATATGCATGAGTAACTGCCATAAAAAGTAAAATGAAAGAGGTGTAACAAAAACAGCAAGATTGGGCCAGGTACAGGGGCTCACACCTGTAATCCCAGCACTCTCGGAGGCTGAGGTGAGGAGACTGCTTGAGCTCACAGGTTCGAGACCAGCCTGAGCCAGAGCGAGACCCCCGTCTCTACTAAAAATACAAAAGCTGAGGCAAGAGGACCACTTGAGCCCAAGAGTTAGAGGTTGCTGTGAGCTGTGATGTTGCCACGGCACTCTACCCAGGGCAACAGCTTGAGATTCTGTCTCAAAAAAACAAAACAAAACAAAACAAAACCAGCAAGACCAGGCTCAGTGGGGTAGCAGCTTTCTCTGCAAGCACAGAGGGGGCTCTAGGCCCCAGTCTCAGGGCTCAGGGGGGCACAGCAGTGTGGCTAAGAGCACGGCCACCTTCTCGCTCATGGCCTGCAGCTGCTGCTTCCGCTCCCGGAGCTCCTTCTGGAGCGTGTCCTTCTCGGTGTTGACCTTCCGCAGCTGGGATTCTAGGAAGTTCACTTGCTGCTGTAAGGACGTGATGGCGCCTGAGCAGCCAAGGGAGAGGAGGGGTCATGAGCAACAGGGGCAAGCTAGTGCCCCCTGCTGCCACCCTCCGCCCACCCGTCCGACAGCCCAGCTCCTGGCAGGGCCCCCAGCCCTGCCTGCACCCTGAGCCAGACGTCCCACCTGTCGACAGGGAGTATCTGTTCCTGGTGACCTCCAGCTCGTACTGGAACTCCAGGATCACCTGCTCGTACTCCTCCAGCTGGGCCAGCAGCTCCTCCTCAAAGGACTCGCCCGGAGTGGAGGTGCTTCCCTGGGCCAGCTCCTCCTCCTCCTCCAGCAGCTCCTCATCCTCCTCCTTCTCCTCCTCTTCCTCCTTCTCCTCCTCCTCCTCTTCTTTCTCCGCTTCCTCCTTCTCCTCCTCCTCGTTGGCCTCCGGGTGCTCAGCCACCGTCTCGCCCACCCGACCCTTCACTCTCTCGCCCTCCGCCCCCGGGGACTCCCCTTGTGGACCCTCTTCCTCCTTGCCTCTCTCCTCAGCCACCGCACACTCCTCTTGCACCTACGAGGGGAAGGCAGGGGGCTGGGCCAGGCCAGAGGGTGGCTGAGAGCCCGTGCCGAGGGCCACCCCAGGTCAGGGCTGCGGGCAGGAATACCTTGGGGCCAGGTCTCCCTCCCACTGCCTGAGGCAGCCCGGGGCTCCTGGGCGGAGCCGCACCTGCTCGTAGCACCACAGCTCGTCCTCCCTGTCCCTGTGGGCCATCTTCAGGATGCTCAACCTGCCCACCCTCACTGTAGCCTCAGAGGGCCGCTCCTGCAAGGTAGAAGCCCTCGGGCTGGGAGCCACTCCTGCGGCACCCCAGGACACGCTGCTACACCTCCTCCTGGAAGGCGACCGCAGCCCCACACGCTGCTGCACTGTGTCCAGGAGGGGGACGCATGCCCTCCTGCCGAGACAGGGAAAATCACCCCTGTCAGTGGAGGGGGACAAAGATCTGTAGATTGAAGGCCAGGGGGCCGGAGAGCTTTGGGTGACCTCAGAGTAGCCACCCACCATGGCCTTGCAACAATGATAGGCTTCTATGAAAAATCAGGGGCCAGCCTCAGGCTGCCACCATGCAGGACATTGCCTCATGCTCTGTCCCAGCACGGCCATCCCGCAGCCATGGGAAGACAGGGACAGAGCCCTGCCCGCTCCCCCTGCAAAATCTGTATCTAAGTAGCTTTCCCTTGAGGGCCCCGGGGTGTTCAGCATGGTCTGAAGCATACCCTGGCCCTGGCTCCCACTTTGCACCTGCCCCCAGAATAAACTCAGGCTGTGTCCTCAGTGGGAAAGAAATCAGGTCTCAGGAAGACCAGGCAAGCATCCTGGGGCCCACACAGACCTGCCCATCCGGTTTTTTACCCAGACCTGGAGTAGGGAAGGCCATCAGGGGCCATCAGGAGCCTGCAGGCCAGGAAGCAGAGAGAGGGGATTCCACCTGCAGCAGGGGCCTTCCACCCTCCAGGATTTCGGGCCTCAGTTCAGCCATCTTTTCATAGGCCGGGAAACTGAGCCCAGAAAGCAGGCCAGAGTAGAGCGGTGGCTGACGCCTGGCTCCCAGCCCTCTCGGCCATTTCCTGCTTCGTCGGCCCCCGCCCTGCATTCTGACCCATCTATCAGAGCCCTGATACCCAGTCGTGCTCCCATGGGAAACTGGGGACATTCCAGGAGGCCTGGGCATGGTCCAGGGGCCTACAGTCACCAGCACGTCTGGACACTTCCATTTGGAAATGAATGCCGCTGCAGAGCTCTGCTCTCCCCGCAGGAACCCAACTCACCCTCTTATACTGGGGCACAGGGATCTCTTGCCCTTTGCTTTTGAGGACGGATTTCAGCTGCTTCTTCAGGGCCTCCCTTTCCTCCTGGAGTGCTAAAATCTCCTCGTCTTTCTTCTGAATCTGCGTCTCCAGCTTGGAGAGGCGCTGGACTTCCTGTCCCAACCTGAACAGGTGGTAGTCCTGGGTGTGAAAACAGGGGCATCCCCCATGCCATCACCTTACAGAGTCGCTCCTTTGCCGCTGCCTCCAGCCCAGGAGGAGAAATCTGCTGTCCTGAAACCCCAAGTCCTGAGTCCAAGATGCCTCCTTCCAGCTCCTTCCAGCAGCTGTGCCCTGTTACTGTAGCCCCCTCCCCCCAGTCTATCTGGCACAGTCAGCACCCTCTGCCGCTGCAGTGTAAGATGTCCCCTCACCACACTTAACCAGCAGCACCCACAAGAGCTGCTTCCAGAGCCTTCTCAGGGAGCCCGCAACCTTCCCTTCCCAAAACTCTAACTCCCTCAATTCTTCAAAACTGAAGACACAAATAAAGGTATCTTCAGGCAAACAGAAACTTTTTCACCAGCAGATCTGAACTAAGACAAATACTAAAGGGAATTCTTTGGACATAAGGAAAATGATCCCAACAGAATATTCTGGAAGGAAAGATAAGTAGAAAGTCCTCCAAATGTCTCGAAATTAAGTGATGGGCTTCTATATGGCCCATGGGTTAAAAAAGAAATCTCAGCAGGGCGCAGTGGCTCACACCTGTAATCCCAGCACTCTGGGAGGCCAAGGTGGGTGGACTGCCTGAGCTCATAGGTTAGAGATCGACCTGGGCCCCTGCCTGAGCGAGACCAATGCTGGCCAGCCTTTTTTTTTTTTTTTTAAGAGGCAAAACAATCTTGACACCAAAATTTGGCAGTGAGGTTGCAGGACAGGTGAGGTCTGGGTCTATCTCTCTCATAAGCACGGATTTATTTATTTATTTATTGGAGACAGAGCCTCAAGCTATCGTCCTGGGTAGAGTGCTGTGGCATCACAGCTCACAGCAACCTCCAACTCCTGGGCTCAAGGGATTCTCCTGCCTCCGCCTCCGAAGTAGCTGGGACTGTTACAGGCGCCCGCCACAACGTCCAGCTATTTTTTGGTTGCAGTCATCATTGTTGTTTGGTGGGCCTGGACTGGATTTGAACCCGCCAGCTCAGGTGTATGTGGCAGGCATCTTAGCCGCTTGAGCCACAGGTGCCGAGCCAGCACAGATTTTTTTAAAAGAATACTACAATGAATGGACTTGTATGTAAATGTTTGTGTATCAAGCTGGTTACTATTATTGTTATTATTTAGATACATTCTCCAAAGGGCACCTTATAGGCCCAAAGATCAGGGACGGGTCGGTTGTCATGTGTGCTGTGAGCTGCTAAAGAGCTGGCGAGTTCCAGTCACGGGAGGAGGAGGAACAGAGAGCAGGAGACTTGTCGAGTAGGGCATCTGCAGGTCACTTGAGACCATACCTGGTGACCTGCTGGACAGCTAACCAGACCCTAGAATGAGTCACCAGGACCGGGTCCAGAGCCAGGGAGTGTGGGGTGGGTACCTTCTCATGGATGACGGAGAGGTACCAGGGCATCCTCATTTTTCGGTGGCTCTGGGGTACAATTGAGCTGCCGGCAACAGGACTCAAAGCCTGAGATTTGCTCCTCTTCTGAAAATAGCTGAACTCACAGGCGCTCTTGCTGGACTGAGGGAGGTGCCCTGCAGAGCAGGCGGAGGCTGAGCCCCTTTAGGGTCTTGGATGACAACATCCACCCCTTGGAGCTTTCCCACAGAAGCCAGCCTGCCCTACTGGGTCCATCTGAGTCCTGCCTCTTTCCTCTGCCATCTCTAGGACACGGCAAGCGTCACTCCCAGACGAGAGAGCTGAGGAGTGAAGGCAGGTGTCCAAGTCCTAGTCAGGACTCCCAGGACAAAGGAGCCAAACCCCAAGCCAGGACCAGAGGGGTTGTCCCGAGGCTGTCCCTTTGCACCCAGCATCCTGTCTCCTCCTTGGGGCTCAGTTTCCCCATCTGTAAGCTGGGCATTGCAGGCTCTAGGTTCCTTCAAATTAATGAGGACCTCCTCCCTGTGTGAATGAAAATCTGTTTGTCAGTAGAAGCAGTGTCCTGTCATCACCACCTGTGGGGATGGAGGCCTCCATGGGTCTCAGTGTAAGGGACAAAGTCTTCAACTTTTGCTAAAGACAGGGAACCACTGTGAACGCAGAGCTGCTCCGTCTAAAGGAGCCTGTCCCACGGCAGGTGCCTGTTGGGAGCAGGCCTCATGCTCAGGCCCCCGCAGGCAGGGCACAGGTCCTTGGGGCTTCCTTACCAGTCAGGCTTATGTCTGAGCCCTGCCTGTCTGAGAGCAGGTCCTGGATGGCATCACTCATGTCCAGGCTGAAGCCTGCCTTCTCAGCCAAGTAGATCTCAGCGCATGAACCTGCAGACATCAAAGTTGTCACCTGTGGCTGCTGAGGTGTGATTCCCCCAATACCTCCAGAACAAAGACCATGATGTTAATTCTTAAACATCAGGGAGGGTAAGGGTGACTTTTCTTGAGGGGTATGTGGGATTGAGCCACGGGGCTGACTCAAAGCTAAGCTGGGGCTCCACCCTCCTGCCCACCAAGTGAGTACCCAGCAGGTCCAGACATAGGTGAGTCTCTGTGGTTGGTGCCTCCTCTCCCCTGAAAGGGCAGATCCCACTTCCCTCTGTAAACATGTGTTTCCAGAAAGTCTGGAAGATGTCCCCTAGATGAGCCTCTAGGCCAGCTCACCCCACGGGCAGACCCTGTTTCCTCTAAACTGGCAGGAGTTGTCCCAGTGGCATGTGCCTATAAGCAGCGTGTAGACACAGGGCCCACACTTGCCCAGAACCGCTCACAGTCTGGGGCTCTGGCCACCCGCCAAGACTCTCCCACCGAGAAAGGGGGTTTGAGGCCTAGACAGCCAGGGCCCCCTTCTGCCTACCAGCTGAGATCCATAGACACAACCCCCCTTTGCTGGCCACAGGCACTGAGCCTGGAGCTCACCATCCCTAAGGACACCTAATATCTGTGTGGGGTCACAAACAAGCTGGGGCCATGAGCTGGGACGTGGAGACAAAGCCTCAGCCCTGACCAGCATCCTCCTGAGTGGCCAGCGAGCTGTGCAGCTGCTTCTCTGAACCACACGTTCTCATCAGAACTGCAAAGTGTTCGCTGAGAGGCTGCTGAGGGGCATTTGCTCCTAGTGAGCTGTCTTAGGCTTTATGGAGCTCTTTCCTGAAGCTTCTAGAATCTTCAGCCCCTTCCCCTCTCTGCTGCCCCCAACCTACCAAGTCTATAGTGAACAGGGCAATGGAAAGACAAGCAAACTGGGAGACGACAGTGACGGGATCAGGAGGGCGAGCCTCTCCCCGCCAGGCACACAGACCATGCTGGTGGAAGGTCATGGGTGGCACCCCCAGACCCAACAGGTGGCCCTGTGGGGCTCTCACCATCACAGGAGGCCGGTACGGCCCTGGTGCAGAGCTGGGGGCAGTCAGGACGCATGAGGAACGCCTTCCGAAGTCCCTCCATTTCGGATTTGAAGCTGGGGCCGGTGGCGTCCTTGAGTTCATGTCAGAAGAGGGGAGGGAAGGCATGAAGAGGCCGACCCAGGAGGCTCCCCCTGCGGCGGGTGGAGGACCTGCCTGTGTGTCCACGCCATCTGGTCCCTCCCCTTCCCAGCAAGACGCGCAGACCCTGCTTTAGAAACTGGACATCTGGGCGGCACCTATATATAGCTCAGTGAGTAGGGCGCCGGCCCCACATACTGAGGGTGGCAGGTTCTAGCCCAGCCCCAGCCAAAACTGAAAACAATAACAACAAAAAAGAAACTGGACATCTAAGCACAGGCAAGGCAGTCACCTGGTGGGACCACCAGGTTCACGCAGCATGGTGGGGGCAGGCAGGTCATCTCGCCAGCCCCCTTCACTCTCCTTTTCAAGATACACCTAAGGAACTCTTGGGACTGAGCCCGCCTTTTCCCTCATGGCTGGCCAGAGAAAGCAGGACCACGTCCACATAGGGAGAGGCCGAAGGATTCAGGTCCTGGCAGAAGACTGTGCAGCTCAGAGCCGAGGAATCAAGGCTCCATGTGGAAATGGGTGAGGACAGTGGGGTTTCTTTGCCTGGAATCTATCTCTGGCAACCTGTCACCAAACGTCTACAGAAAGCTCCTGACAGCCCCAGGAGGCCTAGAGAAGAGGGTCTTGTCCAAGTTCGCTGCGCTTGGCTTAGGCACCCCCCCATCCCCCACCCCCCACCCCAAGACCTGGTACCTTCTTACTACTGTCGTAGCTGATGGCCCCTGCAGGCTTCCTAGAGAAGCTCTGCCTACGAACCAGTTTCCATGCTGGGTCCTGGCTTTTCCGCTGGGCCATACTCTGAAGGGCCGTCAGACCCCTGGCAACGGAGCTGGGTGCCAAATTATGCCACTCCAACTTCTTGGCTTCTGCGGGCAACATCGGGAAGGTGATGACAGGTGGGAGACAAAAACCACTGTTTGCCACCTAAGCCTCGGCTGCTCCTGGGGACCCCTCTTTAGTCTGACTCAGGGGGCGAGGGTAACTCAGCTCCAACGTGGACCTGCTGCCTGGTTTGGGGGAGACAAGTCTCTCTTCCGCAGCTCCATGTCCCGAGAGTTCCCGAGAGCATTGGTGGCATCACAGATGTCTCCATAGAAACAGGGCATGTCATAGCTGTCTCAATTTTTTGCAATTAGGAAAAAGGGCTGGGAAGGGGCCTCAGAAGCTGTTCCCATCAAATCTCGGGATGAAGGCTCGGCACCTATGGCTCAAGTGGCTAAGGCGCCAGCCACATACACCTAAGGTGTCGGGTTCGAATCCCCAGCTTGGGCCGCCAAACAACAATGATGGCTGCAACCAAAAAATAGCCGGGCATTGTGGCGGGCACCTGTGGTCCCAGCTACTTGGGAGGCTGAGGCAGGAGACTCGCTTGAGCCCAGGAGTTGGAGGTTGCTGTGAGCTATGATGCCACGGCACTCTACCCAGGGGGACAGCTTGAAACTCTGGAAAATAAAAATCTCAAGGTGAAGTGGGGAGAAGTGACCTGCAGCCCAGCAACCCACCTTTTGTGCTGTGTCATCTTTATATTTCCCTTATTTAAATTTTCTTTTTTTTTTTGAGACAGAGTCTCACTTTGTCACCCTCCGTAAAGTGCTGTTGCGTCAGAGCTCACAGCAACCTCAAACTCCGGGATTCAAGTGATCCTCATGCCTCAGCCTCCTAAGTATCTGAGACTACAGGTGCCCACCACAACGCCCAGTTGTTTTTAGAGATAGGATCTGGCTCTCGCTCAGGCTGTTCTCAAACCCGTGAGCTCAGGCAATCCACCCGCCTCAGCCTCCCAGAGTGCTGGGATTATAGGCGTGAGCCACCGCCCCTGGCCCTTATTTTTCTTTTCAGCTGTGACCCATGAACATACCAATAAACTCTGACCTTGAGTTCAAAACATAGACATGGCGTTGAAACACCCCTCAGCAGTAGCTTCTTGCCCTCTTTTCTTTCTCTTGGTAAACAGAACCCTGGTTTTTTGCATGAAAGTAATTACTCCTGCCAAGAAGACGTTTCTCAGCTTGGGTTTCCAGAGAGCCCTTTAAGCAGGGAAGGGTTTGCTCAGGCTCAGGGTGTGATCTTCTCTACCCTCCACTTTCTCCATCTTTGAAGCAGTGTCCAGACTTCCAGACCAGGAGGTGACTTTGAGAGTGAGAAGCATTTGGCCAAGAAAGACCTAGAAGAGAGAGAGAAAAGCCTGGTGCCTGCCTACCTCCCAGGCCTGAGTGACTATCTCAGGAATCTCTTAATGAGATGAGACAGAACCGCCACTCACAGAGGCCTTTGTGGGGCTGGGGAGAAAGGTTTCTTTTCTTGCTTATGAGAGGAAATTCACAATCCCATCCTTTCTAAGATAATCTTATAAAAAAGGCAATTTACTACCCCAAATGCCTTTGCTTTGCATCTAAATACAAAATTACAAAACAAGCCTATTACATATTTGAACATTTTATTATTTATTTATTTTTATTTATTTTTTTTTTGAGGCAGAGCCTCAAGCTGTCGCCCTAGATAGAGTGCTGTGGCATCATAGCTCACAGCAACCTCCAACTCCTGGGCTCAAGCGAGTCTCCTGCCTCTGCCTCCCAAGTAGCTGGGACCACAGGCGCCCGCCACAATGCCCAGGCTTTTTTGGTTGCAGCCGTCATTGTTGTTTGTGGGGTCTGGGCTGGATCTGAACCTGCCAGCTCAGGTGCGTGTGGCTGGCGCCTTAGCCGGTTGAGCCATAGGTGCTGAGCCTACATATTTGAACTTTTGACGTGCAGTCATATCCCACAGAATGACATTTTTGCCAATGATGGACGGCATATACAACAGTGGTCTGATACGTTTACTGTGCCTTTTCTGTGTTTAGACACACAAACACCATTGTTACAGTTATGTACAGTAACAGGTTCATAGCCAGGAGCAGGGGGCTGTGCGGCATAGCCCAGGTGTGTGTACACTCTGCGATGCTGGCACAACAAAATTGGCTAAGGATGCCTTTCTCATCCAT